TTTCTATTTTTAGTAGAGACAGGATCTCGCTCTTGCTCAGGCTGGTTTCCAACTCCTGAGCTCAAACAATCCACCCGCCTCGGCCTCCCAGAGAGCTAGGATTACAGGCGTGAGCCACCACGCCCGGCCTTCAAGCATACCTTTTATTGTAGTCTTTTATTTCCCATTTAAAATTTTATGAGTTAAAAAGAAAGCTTCCCTGATCCTAACTGAAATAATCTTCCCATCCCACACCATTCTCTATCCCCTTACTCTGCTTTACTTTTCTTCATAGCACTCTCATTACCTGACATTATATTTGCTATTTATTTACAGTTACTATGTTTCTCATTCCAAGGTAAATTCCATGGGGACAGGGACTTTATTGGTTGTTTACCACTGTACTGATAGTGCCTGTAATAGTGCCCAGGTCAGAGGTTATCTAATCTATAAATATAAAAGAGGAAAGCAAATGAATAAAATATAGAATGGTTGTCAATATGAACAAAGAGAGTACCTCCTCATCTTATTCCCCTTCAAAGGGGAGGAAAACTGGAGAGAACAACAACAAAAAAGAAGTATGATAAATGAGATAAAGAAATAGTTCTTTCAGTACCCCCAGCTAAAACTTTAATTTGCTCTCCAGGTCTCAGACCATTTTTCCTTGGGCCATGGACCTTTAAAGAGCACTTTCTAAACAACATCAGAAGGGTGTGCTTCTTCTCCAATTAGTTGGGGTTTCCTGTGGTAATGACTTCCCCCTGCTCCACTGGCCCTCACGCACCTGGATATTGTCTTCTTCCTTTCCTCATAACTTTCCAGGGCTCTTTTCCTTGCTCTAATAAGGAAATCACATCTGGTTTAGAAATGAAGCATCCTGTTTAGAAGAAAAGAAATATAAGGTGATATGGAAATAAAAAATAAATTCAAAATTACTTAGATTTGGTCTTGGTTAAATTTGCAATAAGTTTATAGGTCAAAATAGTGACAAAGCCAGTAAAACAAAGAAGGGAAAGAAGAGAGAACATTCACAATAAGGTTACACAATAGAGATCGGAGAGGGAGGGAAAAGGACTTTTAAAAATTTATATTCATACAAGTTTTCCTTCTTCAGAGGCAATAGTGGTTGAGATCACAGACTGGTTCAAATCCTGCCTCTGCCACATCCTAGTTCTGTGACCTCTGGCAAGTTACTTCTATGCTTCCATTTTCTCATCTATAAAATAGGGATAATAATAGTACCTATCTTGGATGATTATTGTGAAGATTATATTAAATATATCTGTATCTAAACATTGCCTAGACCTATAGTATATATCAAGCACTATATATACTTCATTAGCTATTAGTTATTGTTATTTTGCTGAGAGGAAAACAAAAAGCTTCCTGGGACATTTGCTGTTACTTCTTGAGATATTCATACAATGTTAAATGCAAAGCTCTTGGATTTTTTGTTAACAGCTTTACTGAGATATAATTTACATACCATAAAATACACCTGTTTTAAGTGTACAATTCAATGATTTTTAGTAAATTTATAGGGTTGTGCAAATATCACCATAATCCAAATTTAGAACATTTCCATCACACCCATAATATCCCTCCTATTCACTGGCAATCAATCCTCATTCCTACCCCCAGCCCCAGATAACCACTGATCTGCTTTCTGTCTCCATAGATTTGCCTTTTCTCGACATTCTATATAAATAGGATCATATAACATGTAATCTTTTGCATCTGGCTTCTTTCATTTAGCATATTGTTTTTGATATTCTTGCATGCTGTAGCATATCTCCATAGTTTGTTCCTTCTTATTATTGAATAATATTCCATTGTATGGCTATACCAGATTTGATTTAACCATTTACCAGTTGATGGACATGTGGATTGTTTTCCCTTTTAGACATTATAAAGAATGCTGCTATGAATACATATACATCTTTATATAGATATATGTTTTCATTTCTCTTGTATAGATACTTAGGAGAGGAATTGCAGGATCATAACTACACCATCTTACATTCCCACTGGTAATGTATAAGAGTTGATTTTTCCAAATCCTCACCAATAATTATTTTATCTTTAAAAAAATTTTTTTGGTACTCTTACCTATGGTTTTAGAAACAAGGACCAATCCAGTAACAATGTACTTCCATAGCACACAGAT